TATAAAAGGGCTTCAAATGGTTCTTCATCACTTCTATGGGCCGCTTGAAAAAAGCATTTTTCTCTTCGACACAGCCATTATTCATAACATAGTAGCACACAGGCTTGTGTGCCGCCATTTCTGCCTCTGTATAGGCATCAAGATTTTCGACTTCTGAGATTCTATCAAAATCCCTTGGCATTACTAATACTACATTGACCAGCAATTTTAGAGAGTCGTCGGAGTCAGACTCGAAATTGTCAGTCATTTCGTCATCTTCTTCGACTGGCCTCTTGTGTTGCACTTCCTGGGCAGGGAATAACCTTCGCCCCACATGTGCTTTCTCCATAGTCTTCGACTGCCCCCTTTTATTCTCGACAGGGGAATTAGTGCTAGATTCTACCTGGTTTTTTAATGAGCCTTCCCTGAGGGCTTTCCTCTTGCGATGCTCTCTTCTCCACTGCGATCGAGACATGAGATTCTTCCCTTTGTAGTTTTCAGATATATGTGCGGTTTTGGAGGACTGGAATTCCTTTCGATAGGTAACTGAAGATCATCGATTGGCCTCACAGTTTTTCCATTTCTGCTATCCTCATTGTCTGTCCTTATTTGGTTTCACCCATTTGCCGTTGGCAGTCTCAGCAAATGGCTTAAAGCTAGCAGGTCTGGCCCTTGGGGCCCTGATGTGAGGTTCAGAATTTCTTGGGGCACTGCTTCGAGGGTCGAATCTGGGTTTCTCCCATTTCTGTTTTGATCTGCATGTCCCTTCAAGTCTTTGGGTCGCCTTCCTGTCAAAAATGGCACTACATCTAGGACATAACATGACACTGGAACCTTTCTTTTAGAAACGGTGAAGAAAATCGACAATAGACTCTTCGTGTCCTGGATAAGCCACTTTTTTGTGTTCTTCCTGACAACTTGATTCATTATCCTCTATGGTTTCATGTTGCATTATCTCCACCATATTGACATCGACACCCTCACCTATATTGATCCTAACTAGGTCCAGCTCTAAGCCTCTAGTGGCCTGGTATATCTCAATGAAACTATCAGCGGTTCCCTTAGTTACCATCACCAAACTTGGATTCTCTATGTCTTTCTGACTTGGATCAGCAACACCCCGGTTGAGGCTATCAGCAACCTCCTTTAACCAATTCTCTTGTCCAAAACCCATGGTGATCTTGCCCATTACAGTCTTATTAGTGAAATCATCCATAATTTCTAACGTGTTGATCGAGAAGTCGTAGCCATCAGTAGCTTCGACCATGTTGGCCTCCGTAGGCTCCGTGTAGTGGGCATCTGCCACTTGTAGAGGGTATGTGTCGACCTTCATCTGGCTGCTGGCTTTCTCCCCAAACTTTAGTCTTCCTTCTTGGATGGCATTTTGTACCAGATCCCTGAAAAGAAAACATTGAGACGTTTTATGACCTGAAAAATTATGGTATTTACAAAACTCTCTCTTTTTCCTTTGCTCTAAAGATGACATTTTAGCACCAGGTGGTACTATCATTTTCCCATCCTTAACTAACAAATCGAAAATTTTCGTCATATTTCGTGATATCGAAAGTATATGTCTTATTTGGGAATCTGTCGTTCTTTTCAGATTCGACGAAATTTTCCCCAAGTGGGGGGCCAACACTTTACAAGTGTAGGGGGTCCCTGTTTAAGTTCAGCAACAACCACCTTGTTTTCGTCAAAGTATAATGGGTCTTCCCATACACCTTCGACGTTTTCGTTATATTCGACATAAGCTACTTTCTTGCTTTTATTGAATTTGGCTTTTTCTTCTTTAAGACTCTCCAGCTGTCACACTTTATCGGCTAACTGAGCCATATCCCTTAGGTATTGGGTGTCTAATTTCTTTCTAATAGAGTAGTCGAGACCCCCTGCGGCCATTTCGACCAACTCATGCTCAGGCACCTGGGTGAAACATCTAGCCTTGAGTAGTTGAAACCTATTTAGGTACTCTTCGATTGGCTCAGAAAACTTACGTTTCACACTAGCCAATTCCTTTAGACTAATCTTGGTTTGTCCCATATAAAATTGTTCATGGAATAGACGTTCTAACTGGGTCCAATTATAAACCGAATTAGGGGGTAATGTCGTAAACCAGGTGAAGGCATTTTTAGTGAGAGAACTTGGGAAGTATTTTACTCTAAGACTCTCATCATTGGCTATCTCTCCGGCTTCGATTATATAACGAGCCACATGTTCGACAGTAGATTTCATCGTATCCCCCAAAAATTTGGTGAATTTGGGTACCTTTGTCCTAGAAGGTAGTTATGCTTGGAGAATGTAATCCACTATTAGAGAGGTATAATTTGGCTTAGTAAACCCAGTATTTACGCTGTTTCGAGCCATTATCCTTTTGACCATGGCTGCTAAGTTATTATAGACAACTACATTATTATGTCGAACCTGTTGGATAACATTGTCTGCATCCTGGTTTCGATTTACTAGGATTATCCCTGGGTTTCTTTCCTCTGGGATTGGTACCTGATCCCTTAGTGGTTCGACTCTGTTTGGTTCGAGCTTGGAGGTTTCGACTCTCCCTTGATTCTCTATATTAGGCTCGGTTAAGTTCCCTAAGTCCCGTTGTGGCAGGTTTTCCACTGGGGCCTGGTTCCTAGTAGTAGGAGGTACTCCCCTAAATTCAGCCAACCGTGTCAACTGCGTTACTAACTGTTGATTGGTTGGGTGGTGTTTTGGATTAATGGTTGAAAGATTTCACCCATGGTCTGAGACAAAGTTTGAAACATTTATAAGTTGCTCTCATCCATTTGATGTCTTAAACACGCAACCGAAGTATTGGTTAGATTAGGGCCTTGTGTAGAATACCCCAAACTTAGATTTTGGGGGTTTCGACCAATGTTCAACCTGGACCCCGATCCTTGTAATGGTGAAACCATTACATTATCCGGGAATATTGGGGGAGCATTTTGGAGCCCTTGCATCACAATTGTTGGTATTCCATACGGAGGATTCCTTGGTAATAGTTGTGAAAATCCTAGAGGAACAAATTGCCTAGACATCGAATTTCCTCCTGGCGGAGTCTGGGGATTCGACGCTTGAGGTCCAACATACTCCAACACCGGTTGAGTATACGTCCTTACGCTTGTCAACCTAAGCCCAATACTGATGTTATTGGTTTCACTCTTGCAGGAGGCATTATTTGCTCTCCGGTCGAAGGTACTGAGGGTGGAATCACATCATTTCTCGACCCTTCGTGGGGATTAATGGTGCTAGGCTGAGGGTTAGAACCATCTCCTAGAGAATTAGGGTTGTTTGGCTGATTTGTATCTGTTTCCATGGCCCTGGTATATTTTCTTCTCGGTCTTTCTTCGTTTATAGCGGCGATTTTGCCACTTCTTAGTAACATATAACGAAATTTTCACGAAAGACGAAATATATTGTTGTTTGTATGTATTTCCGAAAACACTAAAAAGCAAATCTTTTAGCACTGTCCCACTGAGCGTGCCATTTTGTTTCCCTTGAAAAATGGAAAACAACCGCTTATCTACCAAATCTAACTTTGGCGACTCACAGGATCGATCAGATTGATCCTAGGACATGTGCTAAAGATTAGCGTTTGAAATTTATATAAGTTACACACTTCGACAATGTTGTGGTAAAAGGTTTTAATAATAAAATTGCTTATTCGACTAAAGAAAAATAGAAGATATAATTTTAGAAAGAAAGGGGTAGAAGTCTTGGAAAAGAATTGAGGCCGGAGGTACAGTAAAGTGCATATGAAAAAGAAAGAGAGGCTGCAAGAAAAGTAAAGAAAACTTTGTAAAGTTAAGCAAATAAAGTAAACTTCATTGAAAAGTAAAAATGGTGTGTTTACATCACGTACATTTTCTTTGATACTCTTATCTCTGCATTCGGATACTTTGAGTAAACTTAGGAGTGACTTGCACAAATAGTAAATTACAACACACTGAATTCCATGTCTAAGACTCCTATTTATAATAGTAAAAATAACTAACAATAACTTCCTAAGGTCATCATCTTCCGACAAATGTCACAACGCATGAAGTCCTTTGTCCAATGAATGCCACTTGTCCCTCTTAGCCACAAGAAAGTATAACTACTCCCTCCATTATTTGAATTTCAAATACTTAATTTAAAATCTCTGACCAGCATCTCGGTCGAAGGCCAACCACTTTAAAGTTCATAATTTTCTCTAAGTCCCTCAACATTTTGCTTCCCCCTTCGAAGATCTCAAGGCTCTCGAAAGACCTTTTTACCTCTAAAAGACTTTAATATTTTATTTAAATATTTTAATCCATATGAGGTGTCGAATTTGTGAGCCAACAATCGGCATCTGGTAAACCCCACTTTTGGAATTCAATTATGTATATATCTTCAATACCGTGAATTTATTATAAATCTTCACATATTAGATATTTAATAAGAAAAAATAAACAAAATAAGAACTTACATGCAATTACTCTCCCTAATACATTCTTTTTTGTTAGATCGCACAACAACTTATTGAACTTAATTTTGAAGACTCGTGAGATGATATCTGGACGATATTGAGAATTCAAGTTACTTTTGCAAAGCAACCTTTGAATTTTCGGCCAGTTAGGATTGCAAGTAAAGGTGATAAAAAGATCTGGAAAACCATTGTGACTACAAATTTCCATACCATAGAAATAAAGTTATTCCATAAACCTTCGACTTCCAACATAAGTCGACGATAAAACCACTCTTTTACCTTTGTTTGAGCTTTGAGTGCTTGCATTCTATTCTAATGCACTCAAATTGCAATATTTAGAAACACACATCCTTTTTTGATGATTTCGAATATAATTCAATCAACCAAAAATTGTTGAAATAATCTTCTTGACCGCAGTAGTATTTGTGCTTCATTATGTCTGGATTGAATCCTAAAAGCAAGACATTCTCTAATGCTAATCTTATTCCTTTTCATTTTGTTTTTTTTTTGAAATTTTTTCCCTAATAAGCTCACCAAGTCTAAAACCATCTTCCTCATAAGGAAACAAAAATGGATACTAATATGCCAGATAACTAGGATGAAACTCACTTATTCTTTTCAACTTTCCACTTTGTCTCTCGAGAAGAATATCCCTTTTATGACCTGTATCAACATCACTGACGATAAGGGCTGCCACCTCCGAAATAGTTGGATGGTTATAAATCCTTCCATTTGTTGATCTATCAGATATTAACTTCAACTTAAGATCGGGTAAAGGACAATTCTTTAATCTATCTGCTGCCATCCCAAATGACTTGGCATGTGTGTTAAACTCATCCAACATAAGCTTCAATTTGTTAACTCTATCTGGAATGATATTGGGGTTGCTGCTGCATATTGTAATAAAACATTTTATTCTATTATATAAAAGCTATTAACAGTAAAGTTTGATAAATTGTATAACTAAATAATGAAGAATCGAAACATCACCCTATTCCTTCAATTCTATTATGAATCTCATTGTCAGTGTCGTAAATGTATAATTGAGCAAACTTTGGAGAATGTCCAAGTAAAGGCAACATGCTCCCAATTATATGGCAAGATTGTCCATGTATTCTTAGGTTAGGTGGTCCTCTTCCCCCTTGAAATTTGTTATCAACTTTCATACCAAAAGACGTAAAAGCAAACACCATGTTGTACAACCTATAAAATTGTTGATAATTTCTACTTTCGTTTTCACTATTATCAAACAACAAACACTGGAGTAATAATGGTGGTGTTTTCAAAAGTCGCAAGACAACTTTTTCCTTACTGCAACATAGATGGAACTCAGGAACAAAATAATTTTTATCCTTTTTAATTTTTTCTTAATACCACATAAGTGCTCCATAGTGTGTGCACTCAACTATAGGATCACCAATATCAGAATAACCTATTTAAATTAAATTTATTATAGACATATAATGCATTGAATTAAGTTGCTAAGTATAATTTGTAAGAAGTTATAATAAAAAACATAATTTAAAGTGATACATACCAATATTGCAAGAATCAATTAATGTAGAATTGGAGTCACCCACTTATTCGTCATCAAAGCTGGAATCTGAGTCATAATTGGCATCAGTGACGTTCAATTCACACGAGCTATCATTGAGTGAATCATCTGTGGATGCATCATCACCAGAGTTATCGTTACCGATGTTGACATCTGGAGTAGAACTGAAAGTTGCAGTATTGTGTATATGCATACTGATCATGGATGAAGACGCGGGATTGACAACTTTGACACCCATGGATTCAATAACACTGACATTTAACTATTTTTTAGATGTCTAAATAGAACTAATCGGCTGTGCACGAATGTTCATGTGTCTTTCACTAGACCTTGATGAAGTTAAAGTTTTGAATTGAGCAAATGATAGAGTATTGTCACTTTCAGTGTTGACATTTGGAGTAGGGTGAATGTTGCAATATTTTGTATAGGCACATTGGTTATGGATGAAGACGTGGGATTTTTATTCTCATTAGTAAAATAATCTAACAGTTTGACACTCACGGATTGAATAACACCCATATTCAACTGCTTTTTAGATTTGTGAACCAAACTACTTGGTTGTGAATGAATGTTCATGTTTCTTTGATTAGACCAAGAGGAAGTTATATCGGAAAATGGTGTTCTGAACTGCAAAAACGATGGAGTATTATCTCAGAAGCGACTTACACTGCAATTGCATAAATTCTCATCAATATTGTAAGATTGTGACTTTTTACCTTGCAAAATATTTTTCCTCTTCTGTCGTGCCGAGGCTGCAAGTTGTTTTTCAGAACCGACTTCAAAACTCTTCATTGTATATGAGTTGCCTGATACATATCCTTGCGACGACATAATCGTAGTTCTTTCATTAAGGAGTGCTGAAGTTACATTAGATAGTGGTGTTCTAATATCTACACTGGATAAAGCATATTACCTTTGAGAGACTTCATTGTGGTTGATTCCGTTTACATCAATTCTGAGTTTTTTCGATCTTCTTTCTTTAAGAAATTGATTTCTTTTATGTCATGCCAGTGTTGCAACTTATTTTCTGGACAAACAATGTGGTTCCATTTTTAAGAGAGTGTGATTAATTCAAAGGGTTGAAATCACTTAATCCTAACATCATATTGAATAAATGGTATTAGTCTACTAAATTCCTATTCAACTCTATTTGTATGATTGTCATTAACTCATAAGCAATATTCAGCAGGGTAGATATTTAAGATTGTTGTCCTTAGACAGTTTGAATTAACTTGTATGAACAAAGTGTATTTGTATCCTTTTTCTTTCTCACGTGGAAATTATTATTGTTGTTAATATATGAGCTAAATGACTACACTACTAGAGCATCTTTAGTGGGAGTAAACTAAATGGTTAAACTAAGATACTTTTTATGGACCCAAAGTGATTTGTAGGATTTAAAATATTTATAGTTGATTTGAGTTGTTTTTACTTTAATGACGATTGCTTGTAAAAAACCAAAACTTGACCCCATATTTTAGAGTTGTTGGAGCTTTATTGATATTTTAATAATATAAAAATATGGGGTCAAGTTTTGGTTTTTTATAGATGTTTGACTATGGACAGCGATAAATTTGACGAAATAATAGGAAGAACGGTTAAAGAAACTAAAAAACCAACAAAAAGTGTTCAGGTGAAAGAGTTATTTTCGGAAATCAACTTGACCAGTTCTAACCGTCGGGCTGATGAGGTGGTGAATTAGGATATTTTAGGCCACCTTACTGTTGTGATGAAGGAAATCAAAGGAGGGTGATGTTGGCCAATCTTCACAGGCTCCTGTCCGAGAGCTTGTGAAAGACATCTTTTGGGATAAGGATCACCCATTCACAGAAGCATGTAAATCAAGTTCTGGTAAATTTAATACTACTTATATTTTAAAAAATAAAACAACATAGTCTTTTGGTTTAGTTTTTTTGCTATTGTATTATAGTGTTAAGTTTTTGACGACAACAAATGATAATGCAACATTTCCCTCAAAAGGTTATAAAGAAGGCACTAAGACCCGACATCACTGAGTTAACCATGTTAGACCTTGACACATTGGATTTTTATGATTGTAAGATAATGAAATAAAAAAGACAATATCTGGAGATGTATGTCGGAGATGATTGGTACTCATACGCGAAGGAGAAGAAACTCATGGTGGGAGACATGGTCTTATTTCACTATAATTCTGATAAGGAAATATTGTATGTCAAGATGTACCGATGTCGCCCTCAGAATATTGTTTGAAGGAAATGGCTCGCCTTCAAGTTAATATAGTATAATGGATATTTTGTAGTTGGTTTAATCTAAGTAATTGTTATATATCAATGATGTTTGGTGCAATGTAATATGATGCAATGTCAATGATATTCTTACAATTGTGTTATCATTTAATTTAGTTTGTTGTTGCATTTTGATATCAGCTATGTAATTCCACTAGTTATTACTAATTTAATGAAGTTCAATGTTATTTTTCAAATGTTTTGATTTTGGTGACTTAATATATACCACAACGTCATATATACATAGTGTTCAAGTTATTTTACATATAAATTTTATGTAATATCATATTGCTTTTTATTATATAAAAAATATAAATAATTTTTCTGTCAAAAATTATAAAAAGATTTCACACTATTTCCTTCTTCATTTCACATTGAACGTATTATGGAAGTTATATGTGGATGACTTCCAACGTTGCATTCAAACTTAATATATGTGAATGTATTGAACTTATTATGGAAGTTACGTATCGATGAGTTACAACTTTGCATTCAAATTTAATATATGTGAATGTATTGAACGTATTATGGAAGTTACACATGGATGATTCCAACTTTGTACTCAATGTTAATATGCGTGAATGTAATGGTTTAATGTGGTAATATAAAAAGCTTAATATGTTGTACTATTAAAGGTGTTTATAAAGTTGTGTTTTGGTATAACGTTGCATTGCAATACGTCACATAGTTTATATGGTTATTATGCAATGCATCTTTAATAAGATCTTATATATTTACCCTTTATTTTTTCATAACAATGAATTATATATGATTTTATTGATCATAGTGCACAAACTGTAATTTAAGACACAATATATATAGCGACACTTTATCTTTTAGAATATAAAGAAACTATTTTTTGTGTCAAAGTTCCAAAAGTTTACCATTGTGTAGCTACGTGATCCTTTCAAACAAAGGTATTAAGGTTAAACAAATATGGAAAACATAGTGTAGCAACGTCATCCTAATGCATCAAATAAAATAAAGTTAACTCCTCCAAATAGCAATTGTTTTGGAATAGAAGTGAGCTTAGACTAATACCTCAAATAAGTAACACTATTACACTCCATGATAATCTAGATCTAAATCAAAGATCATTCAATAGTTGATCAATTTCGTTATTTTTCATGTTTGATTGGTTCCATCATCTTCGTGGAGGACAGTTGAACACTTTTAACATCTTCTACAACATCAGAATTTATTTGTTTTGAGGGAGTCAAGACAAAATTATCATTTGAAGGGTCATAGTCTGCAGATGCAGACAATAATTCCTACAACAATGTTTCAAACATTAAGTATATGTTGTATATCGCAGTTGATGCAACTTAATGTGATTACAAATGAAACAATCAACTTACGGAAAAACTCCTCAAGTCCTGTTGTGGCGATGTCATGCCCTAAATTTGTCATACCTTTTGCAAGTTCCTTATGCTAAGTAATTTTAGTTGCTTCGTAACCTTTCTTTACATGGTCATCTGATCTCTGGCCATGACATTGCAAAGTTTAAGCCACAAAAAGCCTGGTGGGTGCTTATTGTTGTTACTGGCCTTTTGCAAATCGTTTGAATTCAGGTGGACCTCATTTTTTTATGGTTGGGCAGTTTTGATGGGATCAATGGCTTAAGAAGGCATGATCATTCGTTTTCAAATGGTTTGAATCCTATTTCAACAGGATTGTAAGCTTTGCTTCAACGTGTTTTAAGCCTTACTTCAGTACCGTCTTTAAGGCTATTTGATCGATCTAAATCTTGTTTAGAATTTTTGCAAATACAAGTTTTCATCCTTAGGTCATTTTATTTGCGAAATTGGGAGGTAAGAGGTTCATGGCACAACCATCATATGATCAAAGTTCATCATTCAAAATTTATATCAAAGCATGATGTGAGTTTTGTTGCAAGTGACGATCCAACCTGCTTGTTATCTCAAATGTCATGACTAAAGACTAAAGATGTGTCGAGCTTAAGAAATGTTTCTCTTGGATTGAGTTTCAAGCTCAAAGCTGTAATGCAAGTCATGTTTTGAAATTGAGGCAACTCATATTTTCCAAAGCAACTCAATTTGTCCCAAGATTAGTTTTCAACAAAATTAATATGGTGTTCAATGCAATGAATTGTTTATGTTTCAATTTAATACCTTAAACCATGATTTGAGTTGTTGATATAAGTTGTAAGATCAATGGTTCCACTCTAAGCCATAGATCAATTTCCTTTCAAGAGTAAATCGAACTAGAGAAATTGCTTTGCATCCAAGTCATGAAAAGTATTTAAACTTGTAAACTATAACCAATTTTCATTACTATCAATATTGAGCAAATATCTACGGCCAGTGAACAGAAGAAGGTCGTAAGTGACCCTTGCCAATTCATAACAGCA